CCGGGGTGAAAGGAGCACACAAGGGGCACGGCGGCGAGAGTGCGGCCACGGGTCTACTGCCATCTTCTGGTGAAATGTAAAATAACTTTTTTTGTACGTGTGTATTTTATACTGTGGTCAACAGTGCTGGTGGGCCACATATTATTGATTTTATGACAGAAGCTGCGGGCCGGTGAAAATTTGAACAAGGGCCGCAATTGGCCCCCGGGCCGGACTTTGGACATGCCTGGTCTAGATCAAGGAATGAATTTTCAAGCTCAGCATGATTCACATATCCTGTCTGCAGAGCTTCTGAATCATAATCAAAAGTTGTGTGAGGGCTACTGGGGAAGAGATGGTGCCCACGTACTTGGACAACAATCAGGCTGCTGTTCACCATTACCACTGCTAGACTCCACGTGTTTTTTTTTTGATTTGCTGCAGTTCTCAGTGACTTCCAGTCAGCGCAAGCAGCATGTGCCATTTCATGTACCAAATTTAAAATATTATTAAAAAGTACATACCTCGTTCACCTTTAGGACCTGTAAGGAAACCAGAGCAGCTGTTAGAAAAGATGGGACTATAAAAACAGTCATTTTGGTTTAATAATAATGTAACAGTAAATCTAGACTTTGTCAGTGCATGTTAAGTTCTTTACAAATTAATGTTTATTAATTTTCCCTCCATGTCATCATCACATTCAATTTCAGTTATTCACCTTTATTTGTATAGTGACATATCACAAGTCATCTCAGGACACTTTACAAGGAAAGGTCTAGACCTTATTATTATTATTACTGAGAAAAACCCCAAAATCCCCCTTGAGCCAGAACTGGCGATAGAGGAGAGGAAAAACTCCAAATTCTACACCCTACAGCCATATCAATCTGCATCTTGCTCTAGGTTATGAGCATATATAAATTTATCTGTCATACCAGGTGGACCTGGTGCTCCACTTTCCCCTTGCCGCCCAGGGGGCCCCTGGGGACCCGGCAGCCCATTGAAGCCTCTCTCTCCTGGGGGTCCTGGAGGTCCAGGGAGCCCTGTGTAAAATTAAAAAGAAAACAAAGGTGAAACAGCTTCACTCACACATATCTTTGTTCAACCTTAATTTTACCATTAAATATACACGTGTGCCCACCAAGATCTTCTGCACATACAACAACAAGCCCTGGTTCACAGCGAAGCTCAAGCAGCTTCATCGTGCCAAAGAGGAGGCTTACAGACATGGGGACAGGATCCTGTACAGACAGCCAGGAACATACTGACAAGAAAGATCAGAGCAGCAAAGAGGATCGACTCTGAAAAGATGATAAACCAGTGTTTGGCTAATAACCCAACATCAGTGTGGAGGAAATGTGACCCTGGTGGTGTGACACCATCCTGCCTGAAAGCCTGTGCTGATCAGCTGGGCCCCATCTTCACACTTACAGTATCTTCGCCAGATCACTGGAGCTGTGTGATGTCCACTACTGCTACAAACGCTCCACCATCATCGCAGTCCCCAAGAAACCCTCCATCACCACAATGAATGACTACAGACTTGTTGCCCTGACATCTGTAGTCATGACGTCCTTTGAAAGACTGGTGTTGGCCCACCTGAAGGCCATCATAAACCCCCTGCTGGACCTCCTGCAGTTCGCCTACCGGGCAAATACTGTAGGTCAGTGGACGATGCAGTGAACATGGCACTGCATTACATCCTGAAACACCTCGAGTCCCCAGGGACCTATGCACGGGCCCTCTTTGTGGACTTCAGCTCGGCTTTCAAAACCATCATCCCGGACATCTTCCACTCCAAATTGACCCAGCTCACTGTGCCTGCCCCCATCTGTTAGTGGATCACCCACAGACAGGCAGCAGCAGGTGAGGCTGAGGAAAACCACATCCGGTGCCAGGACTGTCAGCACGGATGCCCCCCAGGGATGTGTGCTCTCTCTGCTGCTGTTCTCCCTCTACACCAATGACTGCACCTCAGAGGACCCCTCTGTTAAACTCTTGAAGTTCGCAGATGACACAACATTCACTGGTCTCATCTGAGACAGTGATGAGTCGGCCTACAGACGGGAGGTTAAACAGCTGGTCCTGTGGTGTAGTCATAACAACCTGGAGCTGAACACACCCCCACCCTACACCCTACCACCCATACTCAGCAGCACTGTATCAACAGTAAAGTCCTTCAGGTTCCTGGGCTCTGCTATCTCCCAGGACCTGAAGTGGATGTCCAACATCAGCACCATCACCAAGAAGGCACAGTAGAGGATGAACTTCCTGCTCCAGCTCAGGAAGTTCAACCTGCCCCAGGATCTGCTGATCCACTTCTACAGAGGAATCATCGAATCTGTTCTCTGCTCCTCCATTACTGTCTGGTTTGGCTCAGCAACCAAACAGAACTAAAACAGACTTCAGTGGACATTCAGAATGGACATTCAGAACTGTCACTGTGTGTCAAGACAACCAGGCACAAAGACGGTTTATTTCCCCAGGCTGTCACTCTGATGTAATTCATACAGCATATGTCTGAATAACATGATAAAGCAAAACCCCCCAGTGCAGTAATTCATATTTATAACCATTGTACATATCTAAAAGCTCTTGTATATAAGCTTGTATATATATTTATTATGATATGAGTATGAAAGGTGCTTTATGACTAAAGCTTGCCTGATTGATTGAAATAGAATAAAACAAAACCAAGTAGAGCCCAGCTTACCAGTCAAGCCACGTTCTGAAAAAGTTTGAAGGTCTTTGAGGACCTGGTTCAGGCTTGAGTTCATGTTTTTCATCCTGCTGGTGACCTCATCCTGGTTCCTCTGCATAATGTCCAGAATTCCTCTATGATGGATGACCGAGTCATTCAGACCAGAAACACATGTCCACAAACTGGACACATGTTGATTCAGTCCTGAGCACCGGAAACATCAGAAAACAGGACTCACTGACATGATATTATTTTCAACTCCTTTGTGGCTCTTGTTTTGAAGCCATGTCCATCACATATACAGTAAATTGCTTTGTCCAGGGCAGCAGACCATTTCACCATGTGGCATCGTACAAACCACCAGATTTTCAATATAGGTGCCCACAATATTCTTTTGTAAAATGCTCTGACCAAAGGTGTAGCCAAGGAGATTGATTTCAGATTTAAACCCTCCCAAAATATTTTATAGCCTATATGAATCATATTGTGTGGACTGTGCAGAGCTTTAGGCAGTGCGATGACGCACCAGACAGAACATGTTATTAACATGGAAGTTAGTTCATTGGATAAAATGCTCGCAGTGAACTAGCCTTAGTCCCCATTTTACCTCTAAACCAGCATGGGTGGAGTCCCCGACTGCAGAGAGGTGACTCTATTGCTTCATGTTTTTTATATGGAGGCTGGTTAGATCAGCTGGTTAGAGCGTGGTGCTAATAACACCAAGGTCGTGAGTTCAATCGCCATATTGGCCACTGAGTTGTGGGGTGACTGTGGCTCAGTGGGTAGAGCAGTCACGGTGCATGTATAGACTACCTTGATTTTTAATGACATTTTTTGGCTTTTTCACCTTTATCCAATAGTGCAGTAGAGACAGAAAGGAAAGCATGATAAAAGAAAGTAGGAGAGATGTGTGACAAATGCCATGGAGGCTGGTTAGATCAGCTGATTAGAGCGTAGTGCTAATAACACCAAGGTCGTGAGTTCAATCCACACTGAGATACTTTTGAGTGACGTATGTCAGACATTTCACCTGCTAAACCAGCTGTTCTGCTGCGCCTGAGTGTGTGTACATATGAGAATGTTAAAAGGGTTTACTGAAGTATTTTAAGAAGAAAGAAACACAAGGCCACCTTCAAAATGAACTGTACCTTCCTTTATCTTGTGGATGGAGTTTGAGACACTGTCCAGCCTCCCACAAACCCCCTCCAGCTTTGAGAGCCTCTTCTCCAGACCATCTCCAGACCTCTTACAGTCTCCCATCTCCACCATTACCATGTTCTCAAACCGCCGGATATCCCGGCCCATCCCATCCAGGCTGTCCTGGCTCTTTTCAGTGTGCTCTGTGACCTCCTGCTGCATTTTATCCAGCTCAGAGATGCT